AGACCACAAAAATAAGAGAGGACAAAAATATATATATATATATATATATATATATAATGAATTCGTATTGTTCTTTCTTAAGCCCAGTCTGATATACTGATTGTTTTCTTATTTTGGTACAGGAAAATGTCAGGAGGAAGGCTGATCTTTACATTCAAGAATGGCATGGGGTTTCCCTTAACAAATAAAAGTTTGAAGAAGGGGCAGTGATTGAATTTGATCTCAACTTTGACCAAATAGAGCTAGATTACTAAAGTTCAGCCTTAATCGTAGTCAATAAAGAAGAATTTTGCGAGCAAAAGCCTATATTAAAATTCAAGAGTAAGTTTCAATTCACTGTTGAGAAGAAAATAAAGTTAGAAAAAATTGATGAAGCGGAATTAAGTAATGCTGCAATTAATTGGATGAGGTTGATGGTAATGACTTCAAAGGACGAGCTTGTTGGTGCTACCCTTACCGACGATCAGCCAGAAGGTAAAGCAACACTCACTCGCACACAAAAAAGAAATCGAAATCGCCGCATCCATAAGATGATGGAGCAGTTAAAAGAATAAGGGGAAAATGAAGATGTTATTGCAAAAATGGAAATCAAATTAAAAGAGAAAGCTTCTAATCGGCCAGTTGATGTGCTATCTCAGCCCGTAAAGGCTGAAGAAAAGGTGATTTCTAAGAAAGAAAGGACTTAAGAAATATCTATGGAGGTTGAGCCTTACATTCCTCAATTTGTAAATAGAACACGTCCTTTACAAATTATTCTGAAACATGAGCTTGAAAAATATGAGAAAGTTAGAAATAGAATTTCGAGCTTTTTTCAGAGGCTTTAAGGAAAGTATCTTAAAATACTTGAAGGATTAAAATTGCACACCAATGTATTCACTGACAGTGAGCAGGATGACATTGTAGAGTGTATCTTTCTAGAAAGAGACATGAGGCATGCTGGTCGGTTAAAAAGAAGAACATATTTCAAGCCCAAGAAGTAGAAACGAGGTAAGGGAAGGGTTACAATACAGTATGGCTGCTGTTACAATTTTGCTCAGGACAAGGAAGGAAATTTGCCTAGAATAATTTGCCATGACAAAGTTTTCCATTTACCATCATTCATAAAGAAGATAATCAAACTATTGGTGACCTGGCATATCTTACCAGCAGATTGTATTCCTAATAGCTGCATAATTAACATCTACGAGGCTGGTGACTGCATTCCTCCACATGTTGATCGTCATGATTTTGTGAGACCAGTCTGCACGGTCTCATTCATCAACAAGTGTAATATTATGTTCAGAACAGAAATTCAGATTGTTGGTGATGGAGAATTTCAAGGTTTTGTGGAGATCCCTTTACCTGTAGGCTCGATTTTAGTTCTAAAAGGGAATGGCGCTGATGTAGCTAAACACTGCATCCCTGGAGTACTATATCCAAGAAATTCTATAACCCTCAAGAGGATGAATGAAGAGAAGGTGCCATTCCGCTTTAGGCCGGATCCTAAGATAGAGTATTTGCAACCTTTCGAGCTATAAGTAGTTTAAAGACAACACACCTCAATATATATTTAGGAGAAGTTGCTTCTATTTTTTTTTTATAATATGTTAGAAAATGAGGTTAGTCTTTATAAAACTTACTATTTTGACATGGATACCGACAATGGATCGCCAGTTAGATGATATGCAGATTAAATTCAATCATATGTATTTAGTGTTGATGTATGGAAGAGCATTCAGATATATGGATCATTTTCATATGATTCAAAAAGATGTTTTGATCATGCCCTCTTAAATAGAATCAGGCAATATTGTATCCAGTACCAGATTACATTCCTGATATGATAGTTTAAAGAAAATATGTTGAAATTTCTTTACGCAGTTGTGAATGCAAATTTGGGCAATTTATTGAGAAAACAAATGAATTTGACTTGTCTCAATTCTGAGAAAGGCTAACAACATGAACGATATGTAAAAAAAAAATATGTAATGAATAACACTCAATATATATATATATAAATTAATTAACATTAAAAAACAAATACTCTTCCAAATCATGAAAATTCAAAAAATAATTTAAAACTTTTTTTTCTCACCACAATTTGATTGTTTCTGCACTTCTGTAGATTTTGTCTTTTCTTTCACAATTCTGCAAAACTTTACATATTTTACATTTCCATAAACTTTCAGATTCCACAAGTTTTATACTTCATTTATACACAATTCTTACATGATTGCACATAATTCTTCACATCTTCACAAATTCATACAAATATTACATCCTCACACAATCTTACACGATATTTCACATTTCTGAAACAAATTCTTACATTCATGATATTTTAGGATCGGTGCAGGGATTCCAATTCCTTTCACATATTTCCACATCCTATTCATACATTTCTCCACATTCACGATATTTTAGGATCGATGCAAGGATTCCAAATTTTTTCACATATTTTCACATTCTACTCATATATTTCTCCACATTCACGATATTTTAGAATCGGTGCAGGGATTCTGAATCCTTTTATATTTTTCCACATTTTATTCATATATTTCTCCACATTCATGATGTTTTGGGATCAGTGCAGGGATTCTGATTCCTTTAACATATTTCCACATTCTATTCATATATTTTTCCGCATTCACGATATATTAGGATCGGTGCAGGGATTCTGATTCCTTTCATATATTTCTACATTCTATTCATATATTTGTCCGCATTCACGATATTTTAGGATCGGTGGAGGGATTCTGATTCCTTTCACATGTTTCCACATTTTATTTATATATTTCTCCACATTCACGATATTTTGGGATAGGTGCAGAGATTATGATTCCTTTCACATATTTCCACATCCTATTCATATATTTCTCCACACTCACAATATTTAGGATCGTAGCAAGGATTCTAATTCCTTTCAAATATTTCCACAACCTATTCATATATTTCTCCACATTCATGATATTTTAGGATCGGTGCAAGGATTCTGATTCCTTCCATATATATAGACTCTTTGGAATAGGCTTAGCCCTACTCCTTTCTCAGCATATATATGCATCCTTTGGGATAAGTTTAATCTCAATTCTTCCTCCACACATTCTTTGATGTTACAACCATTTTTTTCTTTCCTCTACACATATTTCAAAATCATTTAAAAATTCAAATTCACGACAGCAGTTGAAAATATACTTGCTAATTCCCAGCAAAAATTTGACTTCACTTTGATTTTATCTTTGTTTTATCCTAAGTATGGTTACTTGGACATTCTTGCAATATTGGGTTTATCATTTTGTTCAACACCAATAGGCTTGGCATGCTTGTGCAACACACCACACCTATTGGGGGTTCATTTGTTGACCTCAAATTTGAGGTCTTCCTATCCCTTTCTTTTGATACCCTAGGATCAAGCCTTAGGAATTTTCTATTTTTGACTCTCCTAGAGGACTAGACTGGGACCTCCAATATTTAGAAATTCAAGCCATTTCTTTGCTCCTTAAAGTTTCATATGGACGGTTTCTAATTCTTAACTTGCACATGAGTTGATTAAAGTCGACATATTGAAGCTAGGTGGACCCCATGAAGTGTGTGACGTTTAAATTTCTACAGCGAGCAGTTTACTTAACTTTGGTTATTGCTTATGTGAGGACCGGTCAATAATATCTCATTAAACGGCTCCGATTGGACCAAAATAACTTCTTTTATCGTAACACACGTGAATTAAAGTAAATTGGCACGATTTTAAATGAACATGTCCTGGTGACCTCAGATGACAAAACGGATCGCTCCAATGCAACCAGAATGTCGATTTTGGCTGGAAAGGACATATACTGATAGGGTTTCGAATCGAGTTAAGTTGTGCATAAATTGATAAATTTTGATAAAATAATATTTTTTTTATTTAGAAAATTTAATAAAAAAAATAAAAGGGGAGAAAATAAAAACTCAATTTTTTTTTTTACTTGTGTTTTCTTGCCCTAGCCGAACCATTTCCTCCTCCTCTCTTCTCTTAACCAAATCTCAAAGTTTTTCCTTCCCGTTCTCCAATTATCTCTTTCCTTGCTGGCCTTAAATGACTTTCGCCGTCGGTTACTTTGCCGATAACCCTTCTCTAAAAGTTTTTCCCGCCCAAAAGGATCTAGTAACCTTCCTACTCTTGGCTTTGGGGCTTTTTCATTCATTTTGGGGTGTTTCTCCTCACCGCCCCGATGCTCACTGTCGGTGAGCCATTCTCTCATCTTCGCCAATAAATACCACCCCCCGGGGAAAGATTAAGGGTTAGCATTTTTTTGGACGATTTGAGGAGTTTTTTTTGGCTTGAGGATTTCTTACGCTCTCTGAAAGTTGTTCAAGGAGAGTTTCGGGGTTGGATTTTTTTTTATTCGTACACTAAGGAAGAAGTTCGGTTGGTTGGCAATTCCTTTCTAGATTAGCTTCTTTCATTAATGGGATCTAGAGATTATTTTTGTGTATTGCTTCTAAACTTTCTTACACTTTCTGTAAATACTTGGAAGTAGGTTCTTCTCTCATTAATCTTTTGTCTTTCAAGGGATTTCTCTCATTTGATGTTCTGCTTTCTACTAGTCTTAAGAATATTTTCTCTTGGTATAAGATGCTGAAAATAATGAAGTCCCCATTATAATTGGGTTTACAAGATATTCATCTTGATTACATGAACTGTGCTTTATTTGGTGTTAATTTTTCAAAAGTATTACAGATTTCTAAATAAAAATGAAAAGAAGCAAGAGCCTGCTTCTTCAAGTCTTTCTCCTATTATTAATTGGTCTTTAATACTGATGCGATTTTAATTTGATAAATCATGAAAGATCTTACAATCTTTGTAGATCTGAAGCCTTCTTTGCTCGGCAAGTTAGTTAATCTCTTGATTAGTATTTATAAAATCGCCCTAAGCCATGTGATATTAGTCTTAATGTATTACTGAAGATTTTAATTAATGGGATTTTCATACATACCAGGCATATTCTTATGTATTTACATATCTAGATAAATGTATATTTAATCACTCATGAGTGCTTGTATGTGTAATATCTGGATATATTTGAATATGGATAGTATAAGATAAATGTATATTTAATCACTCATGAGTGCTTGTATGTGTAATATCTAAATCATAAAGGAAAAGTTGTTAACTTTTTCTAATCATCTCGTGCTTATGTATCACTTAATTGAGGGTTATAAATTTTATTTAATTACATATGTAACACCTAGACTTAATTTTTACATCCATAACACTACATTGGTTCCAACGTTGTCAAGGTTGGCCTGCTATTCATTGTTTATTTTCATTAGTTAAGCTTGCTTACTTTGTAACTCTTTTAGCTGAAATACTTACTGAAATTTTAAAAGCATTAAGAAGCATCCATTTGTTGTTTATGCACTCTCTATATCAAAACAAAAGGATGTCTGAGACTATCAAAAATTGAAATATCTTTGATATTTGAATCATTCTGTAAATCTCACTCAAATTCCAAAACCATTTAGTAGTCCTTATCATTTGCTATTCATAACCTATAAAAATGTGGCTAGAAGGATTTTTCTCTGATGATTTCTTGTCCGACAATGTGAATTTTTCTAATTTGCATCACTTGGAATTACCCTGAATGTATTTTCGAGTGCACCTGGAATTGGGAAGTTATGATTGAGCAGAAAGAAAATGATTCAATACATTTTCATTGTTATAATGGGAGATTGGTTATTGTTTTCAGACACAAGATCTAATATCTTTGTTAGTGGTAAATAACATCATTATTTTTTTATCATTCCATGCTTAACATTCAAAGCTTGAGTACTATGTCAAATTTTTGTGATGATTTGTATTATAAAGTTGCTTAAAAATTATATTTTTGTACCTCGAGACGTAAAAAATCAAAAAATGATTGGATGAGTGTTGACCTCACTTTTGGTTGAGGTTTAGTTTTCCCTCTTTAGTAGCCTAGGGTCTAGCCATATGACTTTAGGACTTTCCTATTGACTCCTATTGATTATTCCTAGAAAACTAAACTCCTCTTTGCTCAACTTGAAGTTTCACATATTGGTCCTAACCTCTAGCACTAAGTAGGTGGGGCCACTTTGGGGGAACTCAAGGAGAGTTCCAATAGGACTATTTGGATTTAGGGTTGACCCTGGGTGTTGGTCTAGAGCTAGTTCACTCACTTACACTCACTATCATTTATATCCACTCACAATCCTAAAACTCAAATTGTTGACTTTGATCCCTTGATCCTTTGGGAGACTCATGTAGATGGTCCCCTAAACCCATTAGCCCTAGGCTAGGGTTTGGCTAAGACCAATACATAGAGGACTCAAATGGGGATTTCATTGGTTCATACCTCATATAGGGTAGTTGATTTTAGACCTGATTGATGCATCAAGGGGAAAGGGGATTGAGGTAAAATGCAGCAAGATGGAGGTTTGTAACAATGATGACTCTGTGAATAAGCAGGAGTTGATTTTAGACCTGATGAAGAGAGACTTAAGCCTCTAAAACCTATTGGGCCTACCAATACAAAGACAT